TAGGAGGGTGGTGAAGCACTGGAATGGGTTACCTAGGGAGGTGGTGGAATCTCCTTCCTTAGAGGTTTTTAAGGTCAGGCTTGACAAAGCTCTGGCTGGGATGATTTAGTTGGGGATTGGTCCTGCTTTGAGCAGGGGGTTAGACTAGATGACCTCCTGAGGTCCCTTCAAACCCTGATATTCTATGATCCCTTTATAAGAAATCACTCACTCAACTGAAACGCAACTGCCTCTGGTGTGGAACATGGATCACATTCTGTGTCAGCAATACAATGTTCATTTTTAGGAGGAGAAAGTAAAGACTAACTTTTCTAAGTTGAAGCTGCTAAAGGTATACATGTTAACAGCCAGGACACTATGATTTTAAGAGCTTTTGTCTCTTCGTGATGTTGGAGTAGCCATGGTCTGTTCTAGGTCTCATCAGAAAGACAGAACTTCCAGTAGTAGAGTTGTGTATTTAAAACATTACCCTCCAAATGAGAAAGTTCTGCACTGTTTCTTCTCATACAATTGACCTAACTAAAGAACATACACAAATAATTAGCCACATTCACCTTGAGACACCGAGGTGCTCAATGTTAACTTACCGGACAATGCAGTTTACTTTTTAATTTTTTATTTTATTTATTTTTACAATTAAGGATGTACAGCCTACATCCCACAAGAAAAAGCAGAAAAAGTCCTTATGGAAAAAAACCCAAATATACTGAACACATACCAAATGGTACACAGAGATGGGACTGGCTTGGATTTCAAAATTTCAATAAAAATAAAAAAAGATGTAATGCAACAGCTGTTCAATTCCCCAGTCTAAATAGGCACTGTAAAAAACGACATTTCAGCTTTCTCTGGCACATATTCCAGCCTAAATGCTCTGACTGTAACCAACTCCTAGGTTCCCATACAATCATTGGGAAACAACCTTAGAATAAAAGTTTAGTACCCACCCACCCTCTTAAAAAAGCCTTCAATGCTGCTGTTTGGACTGGACCAGAATTAGAGAATTTTATAAAGGTTTGAGAGCACCCAAGGCAAGTACTGCAATATAATTTGTCACTATTTAACTTGCTTTGGAAAGGAGAGTAAAACAGTGAGATCTGCACCTTGGTACATAAAACTGTCATCCTGGATAAAGAGAAATCGTTCAGAGAAGTTTTACAGCTTGGTCAAAGTCAAGGACAGCTTTAGGCATCATCAATTGAAGGGGTTCAATTCAGACTTAGTTATAACCACTTTTACATACTGTACATCTACCCTAGTTGGATCAGTGTCTGGAACTGCTCACTGGTGTCCCTTTGAACAACTGTAAACTAAACCATAGTATGCAACTCCATAGGAAGCTAGAGGATCCGGTGACTGTACAGCAGCTATATCTCCCCTGCTTCGCGCTCCTCTGAGCTCCTCCGGTCTTCTGATCGGCCATTAGCACTTTCATATGAACGTTTCCTGTCTTTGTTATCTCGGGGTGACCTCTCTCTTGAGCTCCTGTCTTTGTCACGCGATGTTCTGTCATGATCTCTTGATCGTTCTTTGTCTCTGGAAGATCTTTCTTTTGAGGATCTGAAAAGTGCAATACATTTGAGAACCCAAATTAGTCATGAATCTGTTGCTGCCACAAAGAAAATGTTTTGTTAAAATTTTGTATTTATATCTTTCGCAGACATACCCAGTTTGGTTCCACATAGACAAATACATGAGAAGCCATCAGGAGACACAGACCCCCGTGTCCAATTTCAAAACAGACTAGCAGAGGCAGCATTTTTGGAGTACATTTATTATGGAGCTAAGCTTAAGGTTGGAACTAGCTTTTCATTAATCCTGATTTTGACCTCTTCCCCTGAAACTTTCATCAATAAAAGTTTCTGCCTGAATTTTCTCATGTATGGTCTTTAGTCCAAGGAGAATTTTCTGGCATACTTGGAGGTTGATAACACAGAGCAATTTTAAAGTGAGTTTGAGATATGAAAGGTTTTTCTTTTCTTCTTTTTATAAACAGAAAGCAAACTACTGAAGTCGTCTAGTTTTTGGAATGCCATTCCTCAAGAACAGCTTCGTTTACAGACTCCAGAGTTGTTTTATTCATTGGTCCTCTCATGAAAATTAGCATTTTTGAGTAATTTCAGGAAAGTTGCATGCTTTATTTTATTTTTTAGATTCTTAACTAGGATTATCTGAACTTCCAAGAACTCTGCCAGACAGCCACAGGAATTTTCTACTGCAGATTTGTGATATAGCTTTAGTCAAGTAAAAATCTGTCTCTCATATTCCCAGCCCTGTATAAGGGGTTAATACTTACTCCCCTTTGTAAAGCACTTCGATTCTATAGATTAAAAGGCTCTTTGTAAGTGATAGTACCACTGAAACTTTCCAGTGTTATAAAAAACTAAATGATGGAAAGGGAAATTATTATAGTGTCAAGAAATTCTGTGTACTTAAAACTAGTATAGGGGATTGCCCTGTCTCCACTAATAGAATGGTGTTGAGAGTTTGTATTAGTGTCTATTATCTTAACTCTTCAAAGGACAAGACTGTAAGGGCACGTCTATACTTACCCGCTGGTTCGGCGGCAAGCAATCAATCTTCTGGGATCGATTTATCGCGTCTTGTCTAGACGCGATAAATCGATCCTGGAAGTGCTCGCCATCGACGCCGGTAATCCTGCTCCGGGAGAGAAGTAGGCGGAGTCGACGGGGGAGTCTGCCTGCTGCGTGTGGCCCTGCGGTAAGTACCTTTAAGTTCGAACTAAGATACTTCGACTTCAGCTACGTTATTCACGTAGCTGAAGTTGCGTATCTTAGTTCGAACTGGGGACTTAGTGTGGACCAGTCCTCAGAAAGAAGATCTACAATCTTATCAAGTTTTGATGCAGAATTCCTTTTTGAGCTTGGACAAGTCACAACCTCAGTTCCCCTACCTGTAAAATGGAGATTACTCTACAGGAGTTTTTCGAAGCTTAAATATTTAAAACACATCTCGAGGCCCTCAGATGGAGGGTCATATAGAAGTATCTAGTATCAATCACACAGAGTAACTCAAACTACAGACCAAAGAATTAAGAACAGATAAGATTTGTTACAACCTAGCCCAGTTACCACCTTGTATGGTCAGTCTGTTGTGAGTGGATCCAATCACCACATCCCACTGCAGTTCCAAATCAACTGGGTCTGGATAGAATCTAGTCACTGTCTCTAGCTCTGGGACTATGGATACACATTCAGGTTCAGACCTGTTTGACACTGTTCCTTGTGACTTAGGGTGCCACGTCCCAGAGGTCCTACAACCCAAAATCAGTGTGAGCCCTACTGTGCACCCCAGCCCCCCAAGTTGCTCCCCAGAGCTCCACCAAGCCAGTGAGAACTCTGCTTCTAGTTCAACCCCTCTGGGGACAACCTTGCAGGCAAGCATGGAAATGAAGGTTACTTACCTGTAGCTGAACCAGATGAGCCTCTGGATATTCACACTATGGGAATCCTGGCACCTGTGCTGTGAGCTTTCAGTACCTTCTGGAAAGCAGTGCCTGTTGAGGCCATTCACTCCTCTCTCCTCCACCCACCCTGGACAGTTTTGAGGGTAGAAAGGGAAAGTGGTCCTAACTGCTCTCCAGTTCTTTCCACTACTTTGGGAATTCTTAACCTGAGCCATTCCAGAAGTAGGGAGTGAGTGAGTGAGAGAGAATATGCAGAGACTCATCTAGAAGAATTCTGGTTACAGCTAAATAACCTTCATTTCTTCTGAGTGGCATCTAATACATTCCCGCTTGTGGGAGTTTAGTAAGCAGTTCAACCTTCAAGAAGGTAGACTGAGGAGTTCTAGGTAAACAAGGTCAACAGAACACTTGAAACAAGCATTAGTTCTGCATAGAGTGAATAGAAGTGACTAAACTTCTCGCTTTCTCAAAAAAACTAAAACAAAACCTCCCTCTGGTTACTAACCTTTCTGTAACTGTTGTTCTTAGAGAGGTGTTGCACATGTCCATTGCAATTTAGGTATGTGTACACCCTGAGCACAGTTGCCGTAATTTTTTCCCCTAGTGGTATCCATCAAGTTGGTTCCAAGCACTCTCTGGTGTTGTGCACTCATACCATTGGTATAAAGGGCCCTGCCGATCCTGCTCCCCTTAAGTTTCTTCTTACCAACTGACTCTGATGAGAGGGGACTGACGGTGGGTTTTGGAATGGACTTGTGCAACACCTCTTGGAGAACAACAATTACAGAAAGGTTAATAACTTTTTTTTCTCCTTCAGGTGCTTGCACATGTCCATTCCAATTTAGGTGACTCACAAGCAGTTGTACAGGAGATGGGCTTGTAGTTCAAGGACAGGCTGACTGCAAGACTGCACGCCCGAAGTTGGCGTTATCTCTAGCTAGTCGGGTGATGACATTTGGTGAAGACCCGGTGTGGCGGCTGAGAGGCTGAACAGAAGAAGCGCAAACTGGTAATGAACTTGGTTCATGACAAATCTTAGGAACCTTCTGTGGCCTTGGAAGATTGATATGTGGAAGTATGCATCCATTAGAGATGGAGGACAGCATACCACTCCCAGTGAGTAAACGATGGAAACCAACGAGAGCACGTGAAATTTAAGTTCTTGAGATAGTGGTTGAGAGGATGCAGATCTAGTATTGGCCTGAGACCACCCTTGGCTCCCAGAATTAGGAAGTAACAGGCATACAACCCCTTTCCTCTTAAGTGGAATGGAATCTCTTTCACAGCTCCCACCCGAAGGAGGTACTGAACTTGTTCTAAGAGTTGCTTGTGAGAAGGATCCCTGAAGATGGATGGGAGGGTGGGGCAGACAAAAATTGGATAGTGTATCCCATTTCTACTGCGCTTAGAACCCAACGATCTGAGGTAAGGTGGGTCCAGGCACTGAGGAAGCAGGAGAGTCAGTTGGAAAACAAGGAGAAAATTACCTAAGCAATGAGGAATTCCAGCAACCATCACAGGCAGAAAGAAGGAATGGAGGGGAAGTGGCGTTGGTAGGACCCTTCATACCGACGGTATGAGTAGAGCCCTGTAAATCCGCTGATATCCACTTTATATTTACATCTGCGGATGTGGATATCCGCAGATCATTTTTGCAGACTGCAGATGGATGCGGATACTAATTTTGTATCCACGCAGGGCTCTAGCCATGAGCGTGCAACACCACAGGGTGCTAGAGCTGACCCAACAGATGTCACAAGGGGGGAAAATTCTGGCAACTGTAGTCAAGGCATGCACACACCTAAACTGGAATGGACACGTGTAAGCACTCAAAGAAGTCGTCTTAATGAGGGGAAATTTTTGCTATAAACCCCAAAATATAACAAAACCACGTATATAGGTACAGTAACAGTCATGAAACATGATGTGATGATGACAGTGTGAAGGTATGCCATGGATGTTGCCTTTGTCCTGGATGAGGGCTGACAGTTCCAGGAGACTGAAGCCGTGTCAGGTGATAATTGTGAAACAATGCATTTTACATGGACAATCTTTGGACCATGAGGGCCTGACTCCTCTGATATCAGCTCCATCTCTCCAGGGGCTTGACGATCTTATAGATAAGCTTTGGCCCCATATAAATAACGGCAACGTTTTCTGAATATACCAAGTATGATACCAAAGGGTAATTGACTTTGTTTGCAGCAAGAGACATTTAGATTATAGTTAGAAAGCTTTTCCTAATATCCAATGTTAGTAAAGCACTGGGACAGGTTATCTAGGAGCTTGTGAAATCCATATAATTGAGGGTTTTAAGAACTGGTTAGACAAACATCTGTCAGAGATGTTGCAGGTATATTTAATCCTTTCTCAGCATGGGGGGGGGGGGTGGACGTCCTACATTTCTATAATTCCTCATTGAATGAAAATGAGGCTTAGGGACATATAGACATGCAAGTAGTCAGAATAAGATGGAAACCCCAGGCATCTCAATTAGGATAGATATGAGGGCAGGACCACCTGTTCTGTGAGACTGAAACTTAAAGGCGATAGTACAGATAGTCACTAGGCTTGTATCTCAGAAACTATCAAGAATAGTATCTTCATAGAGATACAGTCCAGAGAACATCTGACCAATGTTCAAATGGAAATCTCTGAGCTTAATGAGAATAAAAGTTACAATCCCACAGGACATGCTAGATGGGAACACCCTAGGGTGAGACAAATGAACCTGTTCTTCTGCAGCATTAGCAGTACATCCTAAGCATTACAATGGAGAATTTAGTCTACTTCAGTGCAGCTCTTAACAGCAAAATAACTACCCCAAGCAGCTCTAGAGGTACACAGAGCAACCCTGTCACAGAGAAAGTTATTACTAAGCGAAGAAAGGCTGTTAATGTGTATCAGATGTTGGAATAGAGATGATAACCAAATGTCCTTTGGCAGGAGTTTCTTCTTAAAACAAAAAACAAAAACTATCCCAAATGCAATAGTCTAAAACAACTGTCAAGGAAGCCTTATCAAGTTCACCAATTTAGGAACTGTTCAGATGGGGAACTGAAAGAGATTCATAGAGTAAAGGCTCCTGTTTTTCAACAGAGACTTTCAGACATCAGCATAAACAATCAAGAGA